AGTCCAGCGCGAAAACCGCACGACCAGGCAGCCATTAATAGTCAATAGTTGTAAAAATGGTATATATTTATGAAAAAAACAACAACAAAAAAACTGCTTGCATACTTGATTTTAAAAATTAAAATTTTCTCTTTCAGAATAGAAAAAAGTAGTCTTTGCATCAGAACTTTGAAAGGTCCATATTATCATGATGTCGGATTTTCACTATCTTTAATAGTTTACGAGATCTCAACGGGACGGATGGACGGAGAGACCACACAAAACTAACAGCGTCTATTTCCCTATACAGGATTACCGAAAAATATATATCTATCTTATATATCCATAGTCTATGGGTCTGGCCCTGGAGTTTATCGGCATTGGAAGTCTTACCAATCGCTGCAATCCCCCCCCCCCCTTTTTTTTTTCATTTCACACAACCCTCCCTGGGAAAAAAAATCCAATTTTGCTTTTTGGCTTTATTTATTTATTTTTTCTAAAAGTCACCATTTGGGAATTTGGCTTTTTATTTTGTATATAAGTAAAACCTGGCACAAAGTAACAAAACTGCTGTTTACCCTTTCGAAGGACACGATTTAGTGATTGCTAGATAAATCTAGCTAGTGGAGTCTATTTTTTTTTTATTGTTGGTAAGCCATTCATGTAGATATAACCATAATATTACATATGTATATCTATAATTACCCTGATTGGCCTCCTTCAGTCGTAGAACGATTATGGTTAATCTCGCACACTTCCTCGTCACACTCTTGTGGCTGTGGAGGAGCCCTTACTATGTATTATTATGTAACTATTAGTATTAGTATTTTGGAGAGACATCCCGTCCACAAATAATCGCCGGTTAAGCCAGTTAAGGTGGCTTTTGCTTCGGTGGTAGAGGAGCTGGCCATTTTTTGCATTGTCCGTTTTTCTTCCAGGGCTGAGGCCCATGTTCTTTCGCTATCCATAGCTTTCTTGGTCACTGTCTGAGTGTCTCTTTCCATCTGGTGTGGTCTAGAGCTATGTCTTCCCAATGGTCAGTATTAATCATGATGTTCACTGATTTGAGGTCCCATTTTATTACATCTATGTAACGGAGATGGGGTCGACCAGTTTTTCTTGAGCCAGTCGCGAGTTGTCCTTAGAGGATGACTTTCGGGATGCGTTTGTCCTCCATCTGGCAAACATGTCCAAGCCAGCGCAAGCGGCCTTGTCTGAGGGCTGTAAAGATGCCGGGAATACCTGTTCATGCAAGGATCTTAGTATTACACACTTTTTCTTTCCAAGTGATTTTCAAGATCCTACGGAGACATTGCCAATGGAATGAGTTAAGTTTTCTCTATTGCTTTGCATGGGTGGTCCATGATTCACTACCATACAGTAGTGTACTCAAAACGCATGCCTTGTAGACTTCCATTTTGGTTACTGTAGTAAGCTTCTGATTTTCCCAAACTCTTGACCTGAGTCTAGCGAAGGTCGAGGCAGCCTTCCCTATGCATTTTTTTATCTCTTCTTCTGGAAACAGGTCATCTTGAATTGTGGATCCCAGATAGCAGAATTCATTTACGGCATCCAGCTTGTTATCGACTATGAGGATCGTGGGTGGTGCTGTAGCAGTTGGTCCCATAACATATTGTTTTCTTTGGGAGACAACCCTAATTACCCTAGTTTCTATGTCGCTGAGATCTCGGGAGTCAGATCTATGTCTATATAGATCTATTATATATATAGGGGTTATATATAATATAATATTATTTAAAAAATTATTTAATATTATAGATCTAGATCTAATCTATCATAAACTTCATAATGATGATAAAGTTAAAGAATAAATAAATGTAAAATTAAAATGATCATCTTGGTCTTGACATCTGCTTCTACTATGACTATACTTTTAAACTATACTATGATCTAGTATCTACTATCTATATCATCACTATCATAGTACCCTGACTATGAGTATGATAGGATCTCTAGACTACACACTACTCTATGTCTGCAGACTACAACTGTAGAATCTAGATCTGCTCATTCATTGCATCATTCTCTGAACTCTGATTCATTCACTTTGTAACTCATCTACATTCAAGATCTATCATCTCTAATCAGACTAATCTCTATGATGATTATGATTCTATCCTTCTGTCTCGGAAGACAATGGATGCACCCAGATGAGTCACTGGCTTTGGTTACATCATGAGATGGGGCAGAATCTGGCGTGACTGATCAAGCCAATTCTGGAGGGGCAGTTTGCCACAGTTCATGCATGTATATGCATCTGTGCTGACAGGGCAGCTTTATTTTTCTTTCTCTTGGCTGACGCAGCTTCATTTCTTGTCTAGAATCATATCTAGAATTAGATCTAAAATAAATGTAAGAATAATCTAAAAAGAGACTACAGATCTAGTCTCAAGTCTATAAATAATAATATAAAAAATAAATAATCTAGATCCGGCTGCCTGGTGGTGCGGTTTGCGCACTGGACTGTCGTTCGGATTTGTCGAGGGTTCAAACCCTGCCCGCTCCCATCCCCCGTCGTCCTGCGGGAGGTTAGGACTAGGAAGTAAACTATCTTCAACTCTGAAGGAACATCCGAAACATGTAAAACATTTTACAAACATTTTAGTCTAGATTTTAGATTATCATTACTCATTAGATCTAGAATAATCTAGATTAGTCAATCTAGACTGAGGTATCTTTTGATTCATACTGAATCATAGTGTCTTAGTATAACAATTATAGTAGATGTTGATCTCTCTATGTTAATATACTGGCTATTGCCAAATAATAAACAGTCCTGACTGATGCAGGAACCAGTTTGTATTTAATAATTACTTTAGAAATTAGATTCTTGATAGTTTTTGTTAGAATTCTACAACATTTTTGAGATATTCCTTCGGGTTTGAAGAACTATATTAGATCTAGATTGACTTGAATCTAGACTACATCCTAGCCCAAATCCCCTTCAGGATGACATGGATGGTAGCAAGGTTCAAACCTGAGACCATTGAACAAATTCCATGGTCCAGAGTGCACACCACATAACCAGATAGCAATTATTGACCATAGGCTTTTATATGACCATCTTTGCTTAAACAAGTACTGAAGTAGATCTGGTGACTCTGGTGTTTAGTCTAGATCTATAATCTATATGTATAGATCTATATAAAGTTAAGCCTTATGCCATTCGCAAATAAGCTGTTACTTGCCTTTATATTTGTGTCTTTCTGATTATTTTATTAGGTTTTGTATTTGAAGGTTATGTTTCATTGTTAATGTATAATTGCTACTTTACCATTAAGTCCTATCCTGAAGGGTTTCTAAATTTAATGATTTTATTAAAGGTCTTGCTCTAATCAAATATGAATATTCATTTGTTACAAGTCTCAATTGTTTTTTTTTGGTGGAGAAAAGATGTTCTATTGAAGAAATTTTTTTTTTTTTTTTTCAGTTGAAGAAAACTACAGCCGAAATGGGTATGCACTGGGGAAACATGGCCACCAATATACGTGGTATTATTACATACAGTTTATCACCATATGAACAGAAAGCTTTTGCTGGGGCTATTTCTAAAGGAGTCCCCAATATGTTTAGGCGTTTCAGAGGTCAAGTTTTTATAGTTGCCCCACGTGAGTAAACTCTTTAAACTAGCTTTTACTTTGTACGAGACATAATATCTTTTCCAACAGATTGTCTAGTGAGCTGGTAAGAATATACAGATAATGTTACACACTGTTAGTCGTACATACATTCATATGTACAGTTTGAATTTACACTGTTATGGAAACGCACACATAGTTCTACATCATCAAGCTCTTATATATACTTTTTTAAATATATTTTTATGAATTGCAAGAAATAGTAGAGATTATTTAATTTGCAATACCACGCCTCATTTAAAACAAAAGAATGTTAAGAATCTTTTTTTATTTAGAAAACAGATCTTTTGATAGAATACCACCAGACAATTGCTTTATTTGAATTTATTGTTGCAGTTAAACTTCTTTTGAAACCGAATCTTAACTTTACAAATCATTTATTGAGCCTCCAAACCTTGTCACATTTTTTATTTAGAAACAAAATGAGGGCCTAGGATATATATTTTTATGAATTGCAAGAAATAGTAGAGATTATTTAATTTGCAACACCACGCCTCATTAAAAAAAAAAAATAATGTTGAGAATCTTTTTTATTTAGAAAACAGATTTTTTGATAGAATTTTTTCTTGAATTTAACAACCCATATTCTTCTCCTAGCCAGCTTTTTTCTGCTGAGCTCTATTGTAGACGCTGCACGGTTTTACAGGGTGTTGGTTATGTTGGGCTGTAGTAGTAGTAGTAGGGTCTGCCTATGGTGGATTAGAAAGAGGCATTCAAGGAGGATATGGTTTACAGTTTCATAAGGATGGGCTCAGTGTCTAAAAAGGGGATTATGTGGTATTTATTTAGTTAAGATGGTAATTTAAGAGAGGTGGGTGTCCTGTTCTTAGTTGGAAGATTGTAGATTGATCTTTGCGGGGGGGGGGGGGGGGGGGGGGGGGGGGAAGATAGTTAATGCTGTCCAGTTTGTTTGGCATGGTCGATTCTTTGTACATGGCTCAGCCTGTGTTTCCTGATGCCCATTGGTTGAGCCACTCCTCTTTGTGATTGTTGACTAACATTGACCTTAGGGTGGGGTAGTTTACAGGTCAACCCTTATAAAACGATTATTATTTCTTTCACAGTTATAGGTAAATTTTAGATTTGTAATTTTTTCTACTATAGCCCTTTCTTTATTTCAGCCTTCATTGCTGCCTATTTAATCTATGATTGGGCACAGAAGGAACATGAAAGGTTGCAGCGCAAAGATCCAAAGGAATTCTGCAATGATCAATAAACATGAAGTGTTTTCTGGACTAATTTTGTATTATACATTTAGAATACTTGGTGTTTGAATGACATTAAAACAATTTAAGTTATTCACGATTTGTATTACCTTTGTTACTATATATTTTATATATTTTTTTAAAATAAAAAAACAACAGACGAATAATATAGATCACAAAGTTTGGCTCAATTATTAATAATATTAATAGCTTTAGATGTTGTCAGTTGCTATGGAAAAAAAAATATAGAGGTCATAACAACCTTTAAAAGACACAAAGATATGCTCCTTCTTCCCTAGTGCTATTAAAGCATGGAATGAGTTGCCTGAGCTAGGACGTGATCATCATCTTTTTTAATGTAACATCTGTATTATATAAGAGTTAAAGATTCAAACATACAATATGATGAATGTATAGTGTTTCATTGTATATTGCAAAATGTAATGCTATTTATAAGATTTTAATTTAAACTATCCTTTAAATGGGATTTTCAAACTCGAAACTGGAAGAGCTCGCTCTGAATGAACTTTTCGGAGTTATATTAGAAGCACAAGGATAATTATTTAATTTCCTTCACATTAAAAACTGGATATTATAAAGATATTTATATCAGAAGATAAGGCTCAATACTATGTGGTTTACCTAAATGCATTTACACTTTCTTAAAATTAAGTTGAGGAGGAAAACGGTTAATAATGTTTTTTGAGAGAAAATTTTATTGATCCAAAAAATTGGAATTGTAGTTTAATTTCTATATGTCTTCATTCCAGCATTCTCATAGTATGCAAGTGTCTTTTAACAAAAACAAGTTTACAGTAAATGTGACTTTTCAATAACCTGATCACTCTTTACAAAAAAAAACAATTCAAATTCCTCTTAATAGACTTTCATTGCAAGTACACCTGGACTAGGTCAAGAGGTTCTGGCTTCGGTTTCATCGGTACTTTCTATTCACTGCTTTCCTATGCCTGCTAATGTTATAGACTGGTTCAATTGTGGGAAGTGTGGTCGAGAGGCTAAGTACGCTTGAACCTGACTACCTATGAAGGAGGCTCGACATCCGACTATAATAATAGGGACTCTCTTGCCCAATAAAACTGCATAGTAAGAAATGCTTTTCTTCTAAACTGTGTCTATTTGCTTCAAATCTATTATAGGTAAATAAAATAATAAAAACAAAAAATGATGAGTAAGGCTTAAAGTAGAACAAAATTAGTGTCTAAGGTTAAACTCTTTCAATGTGTAAGGACATGATGCTAAAAAAAAAAGCAAAATAACTTGCATATTTCTGAAATCTGTTCACAACAAACATTGAACCTTAATAACTCGAAGAGAGAAAAAAATAAAAAGAAAGATCTAGCTGTCATTGATTGATACCTTAGGAATGTCAGAGGCTAATCTGATTTACTTGTCATTTAAAGATTGTGAAAAAATTTTTAAATACTAACAAGAAAAACAGTGAACTAGAAAAAGGTTTTCTCCACCTCACTGTCATGCTAAAAATATTTCCTATTGACCTAACTTCTCTTCTGCCAGAAATAACATAGGTATGATTCGAGTCACATAGTTGAATCAAACTCAACTGATTCAACAATTATTAAAATACAAAGAAACAGTAGGCTTCAGTAGGAAAAAAACAACGTATCTGACTAATGTATGTAGTATGCTAGTTGATGCTATGTTGTCATAAAACTAAAAATTGACATAGAACTTTAATAGAACAACAACATTTCTGAATGTGTTATCTTACAAATAATAATTTACAATTTTATATACAATGAAGTCACATGGAAAAAAGTCATACCTCACTCAATTATGAACAATGAAGTCACACCTCAGGCAATTATGAACTATGCAGATATATAAATGCTTACATTGATAATTAACTATTAATGTAGAATAGAAAAATAAAAGGACCAGAATTGAATCATTTACAATTTTCACGTGTAGTGGCTGGTTTTAATAAGTCAATCCAACATATTACAATTGTTATCTATCTCAGCAAGAAAGTTTCTCGACACATTAGAAAAGAATTGTTAACATAAAACAGAAATATGACATGTTTATTACCATAATACTCCACCTTTCTCTTTGATTTGGATTCAGGAATGAAGGGCTGGTAGTTTGAGGAGGTCAAGTGATGCCATTTAAAATGTGAATGAAGTCAAAGTCAATAAAAGATGATATTAATCATACATTTGATAACACCTAAAAAAAAACAACCCACAATGCTTTTCTTATGTTATGGGATATATATGAGAAAAGGTATAGCAGCTGATGAATACACAAGTCTAAATTCTGTTTAAAGAAACAGTTTACACAGCAAGAATTTTTTTTTGTTCATCCTTGGCTTGCCTTTTACAAAGAATACAACAATAAAAAATATTTACCAAAGATATTGAGTAGCTTTCATCAATCAAACATCGTACTAAAGCTTACAATACAAATAGCAGTCAGTAAATGTTCTACTCAAGCAAATTTCTTTCATCTTAACTTCAATAAAGTTGTTCCAGATATACAAAAGCCATATCACAAATTACAAAAGCCATATCACAAATTACAAATGCAACCAGCAATAATTAATTTTGTTTTCTACAGTGACTGGATCCAATCCAATTATTGATGTTCAGGTATTAGTCCTGTAGTCCATCACTGTTCATGCTAGTAGGAGACAGGCTTCCACAACTCAGGGCTGTGGTGCTGTAGTTGTCAATTGTTGAACTGACTGAATCAAAACAATGAATGAAAAAAAAAGATTAACAACAAGGTTTGTTACAAAAAAAAAGGGAGCAGCATGTTCATTCAACAATTAAATTTATTTTTGCAGGTAAATCAACAAAAGTATGAAAAAAAAAAAAAAGAAACCAAAATCTTTATAGTTATAAGAGGAACTTCTCAATTTTGCAAAAAATGACTGTAAAAGCTAAAGCAGCGATAGATTTGGGAAAGGAGTGGGGGGGGGGGGGGGTTTATAGATGTCTAATTAATAAATGTTGTAGTAATTGAAGTCACATGAAAACTATTTTATTTCAGACTTTTCTGCCATTAATCATTTTTAAAAAAATTGATCTGCATGTCATTGAAGCGTTCTATAAACTTTGTAGTTGATTCTCATATCACTGAGTTAGAGTTACTATACGTTGGTGCTGCTGTAATTTAATGTACATAACTTAGTCCAGGGATAGGCAAATTATTTCAGCAGAACAATCTTTGCCCACATTAAATAAAAAAAAAATGTTACTGATAAATAAGAGAACCAGTTATAGTTTGTTATTTATATGGACTCTTTAAATTGGAAAAGAGTAGCATTCCTAGGGCCATTTATAACATCACTTGTAATTGTTAATCCATGGATGCAAATACCAGATCATCATTTTGCCTGCAAAAAAAAAAGGGAAGGGGGCAATCTAAAAAAACCTGCAAAGGTTATTGTGAACATCATTATAATGACTGGTCGAGTTCATTATTACAGCGTTGCATTTGTGCAACCAAAACAATTTTTGATAAAGTAAAAGTATGTATATATATGCTTTCCTACCTTTTTTATTCCTACTTGATAAAAAAAAGATGTTCATGCAACTTTACAGGTGCAATTTACTCCAAATCCAATGTTCAGTTAGTGTTATAATATTTTTACATTTAATTACATGTTTTGATGTGTCCTATCACCGTTTTTAGGCTGTCTAAAAATGGTTAAGACAAAGCCTTTTAGAAACAGAGGTCATAATAGGAGCTTGTTGCTTTTTTCTTTGTGCTTGAGAGCTTTGACTATCCAGAATTCTGGTTTAGTTGAAGATGATATTATATAGGAGCTTGTTTATTTATTTTTAGTGCCTCTTTAACAGTTGTCTCAATCTGTGCTTGCTGTTTTTAGTGACAAATTGTTCACAAATTATGGTTTTATCACTCAGAGCTTTTAAAAATGAAATTATAGGAGCTTGTTTTATTTTTAGTGTCTCTTTATCAGATGAAATAACAGTTGCCTGAATCTTTGCTGGTTGTTTGTTAGTGACAACTTGTTCAGAAATTATGGTTTTATCACTTAGGAAGATGTTACAAGAGCTTGCTGCTTGATTTTCAGTGCCTCTTTATCAGAAGAAATAACAGTTGTCTCAAACTGTGCTGGCTGTTTGTCAAAGGCAACCAGTTCAGATCTCTGATTCTATAGATTTCTGGTTTTATCACTGGGGACTTTAGAAGATAATGGATCAAAAGAAATATGTTTTTTGATATCTGTTATAAGCAAATGAAACAATCATTTTTCATTTGCTCATTGATAGCTTTGGTGACTCATTTGCTCATTGATAACTTTGGTGACAGCTGTTTCTGCAGGGGCAGCTAATGATGACTTTATAATGGCCATGGATTCATCATTGAAATATTTAAGTCTGGTCCTTTCATCTTTTATAATATCATCCATAATATGAAAACTGACCTAAACAAGTGGGTCTGTAAATATGGACATGACTGCTTTTACAAGTTTAGACAAAGTTGGATATTTCATATGTCCATTAGTTCTTCTATTAAAAACTTGACACCACCAATCTGTGTCCAGCCTAAGGTTGGAGTCCTCTTCATTTATGTTTAGCTCAGCAAGAGTTGTATCTAGCTGATTCCACTTTAGCTCCATATCCAAACAATCAGGCTCTGAAGGATTAACTACATTTGGGAGACGTGCAGCTAAGCTTTTTAAAGATGACTGCAAATGTTCATAAAAAACAAAGCAGCTGATAAGTATGACAACTCTGTGATGGTTCTATTTAGCAGGGATAACTCCATCAAATTTCCAAATATCCTTCTCTTAGAGCAAGGAAAAAAAGATTTACACAGTGTGGAGTTTTTTTTCTTTGTTCTTCATTTTGACAAAATTGGCTTGATATATTTGCCAACTCCCAAATCACTTTCAGATAGTTGGATTTCTTTTTTTCAAGACTCACCAAGTCCTTGATGCTATACATGTGAATGTATTCTGGCTTAATGAAATTTCCACAAAATTCCATAACTAGTGTGAACACATCGCTACGTAATTTATGCACCTATGGTTTTTTCCACAGGTGTTTCTTCAAAAAGGAAGGCATTGTTCTCTTATACCTTTGTACAAGGTAGCAATTAAAACGGTTCTGTCCTGATTGTCAAGTAGAGTATTAAAAATTCTAATTTTTCTTTGAATGTTGCTGTCTGATTATAGATTGTCTTCGCCGACTCTCCGATACTTCTTAAATTTGCTTTCCTAAATTGTCACCAATTTCAAACTCTTTAAATATATCATAAGTATTTTCTCACTCTTTCTTTCTGCAGGGGATAAAAATCTAAAGAGTAAAGTAACAAAGAGTCAAACAGATTCTAAAGTCTTTCTGCTACCACATTAATTTGTAAAAATCTGTTGGGTATCACACAAATTAGTGATTTCCATTCACTGGCACCTAATAAACATTGTAGTTTTTTAAATATGCTTCTTGCCTTGGGTGGCGCCTCATCATGACAATAAACATCTATGGCTAGACTTTCAAAATTGAAAAATGTTTCCATTGGTAAAAAAAATTTCTTTACTGCATGACTGATCATGTGAATGGTGTCTCCACAAACATCTAATAAGTGTTGGTTTAGTTGTCTAATTTGTCTTTTTTTACCCTTCATAACAATACAATTATCTATCATGATAGATAGAACTTGGCTCCAGCTTCTGTTCATGACTTCTAAAATCTCCTCAACAGCATTAGCAATATTTGAAGCACTTAAAATGTTCACTTGTCTGGTGCCCAGCAGCTGGCTTAGAATTTTTTGAATCATCATAATATTGTACCATGATGTTTAAACATTTATTTCCAGCATTATTCAAGGCTTCATTTTTATTCATTGAAATATATTTATGTTTCAATTTCTCTTTCAAACAGAATGCCCAACTCCATGAGAAGTTATGTATGTTGCACTTTGACATAAAGTGACACTGTTTAGCGCTGTAATATCTTTGCTAAGCCTTTAGCTCACTGTCAAAAGATTAGGAACTAAAGAAAATGGAAGGTTTAGCTGGGCCTTTATTTTAGCTGTTTTGTCTAGCAAGCTGCCTTTTTGTAAACTGTGTTGTGCTTGAAGAGCCAGTTAATTTAGTAATTTGGATTAAACTTTTCACTGCCTTTCTGTGCAACTCTAAATCACAATGTTTTTTTTTCCAGATGTTCCATTAAGGATGGGCTTGCCGCAGGCAGTATAAAAACATGCCCCAGATTTAGTTATCTTTATGCAACATGTTTCATACCACAATCCATCAATAGAGACTTTCAGACAGCCATGACCATTGTCATCTATTTCTTAATTGCTTTCCATCCAAACCAATATCAATAGTAGAAATATCATCACCATACATTTCAAAAACATGACAGACCTAGAGTCTAGATGTAAATTTAAATTATTTAGATCTAGAATAATTGCAATTCTCAGTCATGGAATAGATCTAGATCTATTAATAGATCTATAAGTAGAGTCTAGAATAATAATAGTAATAATATGAACATGTTGATAACTGCAAACTCAGTATTACTAATCTTAAATTAGATCTAGATTCTAGATCTAGAACTAGTTCTAGTTGAATAAAAACAATCTTGACCCAACAATGAAACCAAAATTTAAAAACACAGACTTCAATTAAAATAATTGAAATTCTAACAGTCACAGAATATATAGATATAATTTGATTGTTAAATGATAGAGCATATTGATAACTGAACAATGGATCTATTTTAGTCACAAGAATGAAAACAAGGCATAACTACAAAGAGTAAGAAAGATCTTTCAACAGTTCTAACAAAAAGACTTACTTTACTGCAACTCTCTAACGAAGAGATTAGTTTGGACAACTCAGATTGATCTAATTCTACAGTTACTATTTTCCTCTTGCCATTACTCTGTCGAACATCCATGGACAGTTGGAGCAGTGGTTCTTGAAGTGATGCTAATTTATCACTGGCCAAAGTTAACTAAAATAGCAGAGAAGAAAAATAATTACGTACGGTAAATAAAACTGAGAACCAGTTGTGTATAAGAGTTAAAAACAATGAACCATCAATAACCTCCCTTTTACTAGTGTCCTTTGAACTGACTAATAGTGGAAAACAGCATTCAATATTGTAACATGCTAGCAATTCCAGGCAGATGTGTGTATTATGATATGGTCAACATTTGCAAGCATAAATTTAATTTAGAATCAGTTGTGTATAAGAGTTAAAAACAATGAACCATCAATAACCTCCCTTTTACTAGTGTCCTTTGAACTGACTAATAGTGGAAAATAGCATTCAATATTGTAACATGCTAGCAATTCCAGGCAGATGTGTGTATTATGATATGGTCAACATTTGCAAGCATAAATTTAATTTAGAATCAGTTGTGTATAAGAGTTAAAAACAATGAACCATCAATAACCTCCCTTTTACTAGTGTCCTTTGAACTGACTAATAGTGGAAAATAGCATTCAATATTGTAACATGCTAGCAATTCCAGGCAGATGTGTGTATTATGATATGGTCAACATTTGCAAGCATAAATTTAATTTAGAATCAGTTGTGTATAAG